CATTGAATGCACCAGCTCTTGAATAGGAAATGATTTTTAAAGGATTCTTAGAAGGTAAAGATCTTCCACATGCGTGCACAATGGCATGGCCAGACATTTAAATTTTGTGGGACCCTTACAAAGATTTTTTTTGAGGAAAAAATTGCACGAAGTTTATGCAGTAATTTTCAAAGTTCTTTTTTGGAATTTGAGATGGACAGAGGTCTAACAAGCTACATTGGCACCATTAACCCTTACCCTTTGCATGCATGGTGGAAAAAGATAATTTGGGTTTTATAAAATCTAACAGCTTAGATGTTATCTGCGTGATATATTTTACTGAAAATTTCTATAAATTACTTTGACCATTGTTGTGCCATACGCAGATTTGCTGCAGCTTTGAAGGAGTTGAATGTATGGGTTATGAACATTATTTCTGTAGATGCCCCTGACACGCTACCCATAATTTATGAGAGGGGCCTTTTTGGAATTTACCATGACTGGTGTGAATCATTCAGCACATACCCTAGATCTTATGATCTTCTCCATGCTGATCACCTCTTCTCCAAAATTAAAACAAAGTATTCATCCATTACCCAAATACAAATACTCAACACTAAAAGCATATGTCTTTTCCTTAAATAATATTTCCTCCCTATGGCGATGGGGAACTTGCAGGTGTGGCCTACCGGCATTAGTGGCAGAGGTTGATAGGATTCTGAGACCAGATGGAAAACTCATAGTTCGTGACAGTTTGATTGTTATAGGCGAGTTGCAAACTATGTTAAAGTCAATGCACTATGAGATTCGAATGTTGTATTCAAGGGACAAGGAAGGGCTGCTATGTGTAAAAAAGACAATTTGGCGCCCCGAGGAAGTGGAGACACTTACTTATGCTATTGATTGAAACTAATCATGAATATCTTGTACCTCACTAGGTTGGGGTCGATCTATATTGTGGCTATGGTGGATGGTGGGATGCAGTCTAGGGTAACCTACTTTTTCCTTCAATTTTGTAGCGTACTTTTTTCATTTTTCTTATTGAGTCCATCCGATATTGCTTTAATTATGCTATAGTCACTCTTCAGCCCACCACCACAATCCAAATTTTTGGATCCACCCCTATAATGACGCTAGTTATTCTTGTACTATTATATGTCTTATCAGTGTGTCATTTGTTAGCATTGTACTAGTAATTTGGTTTATAGGCCAGGCCTGTGTATTGAACATATGCTAAATTATTCAAAACATAGTGGGATGTATTGGTTTATAGGCCCGTGCACTAACAATGTACACGGAATTCAAAGTTGTGAATGATAAACTTCCATTTGGACAAAACACAGTGTAATCATATTTCTAGTAACTATTTTGGTGTGACAATTCTTTATTTGTTGGGCTGGTTAAATTAAGTCACACAATAGCATCACCTATTATGCATCTATATCTTTCCTTGAAACAATGGCATGGCTTCTAGAGCCGTCCATGAGCCTATTGTGCTTTTTGGGCTAAACTAGAATTTACATTAGGTCATGGTTGATATTACCAGTCTAACCTGCTGGTTGGATTGGTCGTTATTTTTGGTGTGTCTATATTTGATTGTTGTGCTTGTTGCCCAAGTGCCTAACGACACTTATCCGTGAATCATCTTTCATTAAGTTAAGTTTTTCTTCTGTCAACCACCGTTATATCTTTTAGGAATATATTACATGCTTTCAGATTCAGACAACACATATTTATTTGGGTATTTTTATAGGATACCATTATAGCTAGGCATAGGGTCAAATAGGTTTTAGAATATGGTAAAAACATCTCAAATTTATTTCACGTTATCTGATCATGTCTTATTTATTTATTTATTTATTTATTTATTTATTTATTTATTTATTTATTTATTTATTTATTTATTTATTTATTTATTTATTTATTTATTTATTTATTTATTTATTTATTTATTTATTTTACTTACTTACTTACTTACTTACTTACTTATTCTTACTACACTCCATTCGGATGAGGTTGAGCCTCCATCCGAATGAGGCTGAGCCTCATATGATATGTCAATCTACAATATTCATCACTGAAATGATGTTTCTGTGTGCGGTTGACAAGCCAATTATACATGCAAATGGTGATGTTATTTTTTATGGGAAAATTGGAATATTCTCATTCAATAAAATGAAAACCAGCAAAGAGAAAAAGTAAAAAATGGAGAAGTTGGCACACTTGAGGAGAAAGCAATTGTTTCCGTCACAAAGGATGTTTACAAGGAATGACTTCTCAGTTTTTTATTGCCTGCTATCAAAGCTAAGTAGCCTAGAGGTATGAGCAAGCATATTTACATACAACAAAACAATGCAAGACCCCATATTAGTCCAACTGACATTGACTTCATGAAAGAAGTCACTTCAGATGGAGTTAACATTATATTAATCTGCCAGTCTCCTAATAACCCTGATATAAATGTGTTGGATCTAGTTTTTTTTTAATTATTTAGTCACATCAACAGACCACACCTAGGAACTCAGTTCATGACCTCAGATAGGGAGTGGAAAGTGTAGAATGCTTATGCTGAGTTTAATCTAATTGCATTGAATCATGTTTAGTTGACCCTACAGTTGTGTTTGAATTCAATTCTAAAAGTGAAGAGGGCAATAACCACAAGGTGCCACACGTAGGAAAAATTGCAGTGAAAACTCGAGGTTACCACCAAGCTCATTCAAGGCAGACATAAGTTCATTCCTTGAAGTCATAAATGAATTAGGAGAATGAAGTGTGGATTGAAAAAAAATGCAGCAGTGTTTTAGGGGACTGAACATGTAAAGTATTCACATTTTTTACTTTTTGGAATACTTGACATGTTCAAGCCATTCAAAAATGGACACATAGACAATTGGTAGTCATGGATAGCTTTTTGGATAGATCTTTGAAAAAGTGGGGAGAATACGTTTATTTGGACATGCTTTCTTGGATATTGTTGAGTTTAATCCAACACGAAATAGTAAATATAAATATAAATGTGTACGAACAAGTTCTTTTAACGTGTAAACCCGAAAGGGAGAGAACCACGAGACTTTTTGTGTTAATGTCCAAACCACTCTCATTCTCATTATGCTCTCCTTACCATTCACAATGTGCAAAAAGATCCCAAAACATGAAAGGAGACCTCCTTTAATTAGGAAAAAGGGAGGGGTTGCAAAACTACCCTTATGGGCCAAAAGGGTCTTTATGGGGCGAGTGGGTCGAAACGGGTTCAAATGGGGCCTAACTAATCACGCTCCGCACCGGGGTAATGCCTTGGGCCCCTAACTAGTAGTAGGCTGGAATAATACGCCTCAACAAATATGCTTTGTTGGATACTTAGACAAATGACACTAATGCAACATCTATTTTACTAATGCAACAAATGCTTTGTTGCACATTGCACTAATGCTTGCCACACATCCCCATGGTCTCTTAGGGTTTCCCCTGGTGACTTAGTAGGGATAAAGCCAATTAGGAAGCACACATTACCATCATAGACCAATGACAGAAATAAAAAAAACATACGCGTGCATTTTATCATTGAAGACATTGCTTTCCACACATCCCCCATGGTCTCCTATGGTTTCCCCTGGTGACTCATTAGGACTGTAACCAACAGAATAGCATCACACATAAGGATGATAGCCCAATCATTAACCTCATACAAGCACCACACACCATTATGTACGCACTAGCCTGAGGTCTCATACCAAGCCCGGACACAAATGATAGTCCAATCATTGACCTCATACAGGCATCACACACTCACCATTATGCACACACTGGTTTGAGGCCTCATACCAACCACAAACATTGATCACAGTCCAATCATTGACCTCAGACAAAACACACACACAAGGGTGAATATGCAAAGACTAGCTTGAGGCCTCATACCAAGCACAAACACATATGAAAGTCCAATCATTGACCTCATCCAAACATCACACACTCACCATTATGCACACACTGACCTGAGGACTCATACGAAGCACAAACACAGATCACAAGCCAATCATTGACCTCTGACTGCATGCATAAATCACACTTTACCTAATCCTCCTAGGCTCAGAGCAGGTAAGGTAAGCATACAAGTACGAGGAATGTGACCACCTTTATTTCTTAGGGACATAATCAGGGATCATAAGGGAAAACCACATATGAAAATGTACTTGCATGTCACGATGCTCATAATTTCGCATATGCGCATCAAGGAGCACTGTCTCAGGGTCAATCACATAACATGCAATAACATTTTCATCAAATTCATCTTCGGAGTTGGGGACGATCAGATATGCAAGAGACACCAAAGAGTCTTGCTCATCATGGAAAATCAGGGTTTCCATCTGACGACGACGGTCCAATCGGGGATTCAATCAAAGGTGAAGGATTCGGAGTTCAGAACAATGATGGTGTCCACCTCTGCATCTACCAACCACTTCTCTTCGAGTTCGTCTGTAGCACCTGGATTTGCAATGGATATAAGGTATGAGAGATATGATAAGTCGAGGGGGTATACGAAGAGTCCATAAGGGTAGTTTTGCAACCCCTCCCTTTTTCCTAATTAAACCAGTGTGTGCATAATGGTGAGTGTGTGATGCCTGTATGAGGTCAATGATTGGACTGTCATTTGTGTCCGGGCTTGGTATGAGACCTCAGGCTAGTGTGTGCATAATGGTGTGTGGTGCTTGTATGAGGTTAATGATTGGGCTATCATCCTTATGTGTGATGCTATTCTGTTGGTTCCAGTCCTAATGAGTTACCAGGGGAAACCATAGGAGACCATATGGAGATGTGTGGGTGGGTGGAGTAAACGAAGAATGAGGAATACGAAGAGGTTGGGGTGGGCGGCAGATGCATTAAATGGGAAATGAGTAAGTAAATGGGGTGGGTGGTAAGTAAATGATATGGTAAGGTTAATAGATGTAGAAAATAAATGAGGGTAAGAATGTAAATGCATTTGCATTTTTTTTTAAAGGAAACTAATTATATTATAATAGCAACCAAACTTCTCCAAGTACATCCAACCGAACATCGCCAAACCTCCTCATGAGGCTCCGCATAGCCAAAAGGCCCTCCCACTCTCTGGCTAGACATAGAATAGACCACCCCGAAAGGAGCGAGACTATTCGCGGACCATGTGAGATCTTCAAAGCTTTTAACGGCCAAACTAGCCTTATCGCTTCCACCCACATAAAAGTCCTGAGCAAAAAAATAAAAAACAAAGCATCCACCTACCTCTAAAGTTCAGAATAGAAATAAAAGCAACATGATTCAACGAAACGTAAAAAGCATAAAAATAATAAAAGTATTCATGGCCTCCTGCCTTATTAATTCCTCCGTGCTTTGACAGGCTATCTGTCAGTTATGTGTCTGGCGAGCCACAAACTTGTAGCTCGCCTCCTCTCCGTTTCCCCACTGCATTGCCGAGCTCCATCTCCTCCCCCATCTGGTAACCGTCTAACTCCTCCACTTGTCCGCGCTTCTGCTCGAGGTTCCCTCTCTCTTTTTTGGAGAGGGCCCACCTCTAGGACGCTTGAACGCATAACATCCTCCCTATTTCCGCCATTAGTCTGGCTACTCAAGGAGTTTCCTTTACCTGCTGGGACAAGCCATGTGTTCTCCTTCCATTGCTTTGTTCCTTTTGCTGCCCTAAGCCAAGGCCCGAAAGGTCTTTCACCAGTTCCATCGGAATCCCTCCTCTTACGAGGACAATAACTCTCGGCGTGGCCTATTATTCCACACAAGAAGCAGAAGCTTGGCAGTTTCTCGTAACAAAATCTGACTCGGAAACTAACTCCTTCCTCTTTTTTTGCAAAAATAACTTTCTTTTCAGGGGGTTTTCCAGATCAATACGAACCCAAATTCTCATAAAGGACTCCCAATTCTCGGAGAAATTATTTTCATCAGCTTTTATAAATTCCCCAAAAAGTTTCCAATACGTTCCACATTGTCTAAACAGAAATATCCCACTGGGATGTCATGAACTTGAACCCAGAAATCAGCTTTGTTCAAAGGGACAGATATAGGAATATCACCCTCTTTAAGTCTACTCAACACAATTAGGTTTTGATCAAATACCCACGGTCCCTCATCTGCTACCCTATTCATATCTTCCTCATTATAAAATTGAAAGACATACCTCCTAGGGCCAATTTCAGTTATAGTAACACCCTTTTCGGGTTTCCACACAGACGCCATGATATCTCTAAACTGAGACAAAACGTACCGACTTTTCTGATGTAATAGTTCCGATCGGGGCCAATTTGTATTTAGAAGAGTTTTGTGCCGCAGGCTTGACAACGAGGACCTCATCATCTTCTTCCAACTCCAACTGCCCATATGCGTTTGCCAGTGCCTCCATTCCTTCTGCGTTGTGTCCGTCTTCCATGTCGCTCGTCGAAGTAGAAGCCCAGACCTCCATGATGAACTGCTGTAAAAAGAAACTAGCTTCGTTGTCAAGCTCACCTGCCTTGGTGATGAGAAGCGAGGATGCCCCTCGTCAATTGCCGATTGCCGTGAAAACGGCCCTAGAAATTGCGTATAGCATTTGTATTTTATTTCTAAACGGGAAAAGGGGACATTAATAAGGGGTGGAGCAAAATGGAACGAAGACCTTTTATATTGCAAGAGAGAGAGTATTAAATTAAATTAGTAGCTTTATTGCGGGATGAAGAAAAAAACTTGTAAAAGAATATGTGATAAAAGAAGGGAAATCGTACTCAAATTAAGTTGCAAGAAAATAGCTTCACCACACAACATAATAATCATGAGTGAAATTTTAGCTTAGCTTTGACATTTTTTTTTTGAACTTTTGTTGTTAGGAGTCCATTTAGTAATATTGAAGTTGGTTGAAATGACTAAATCCGTTAGAAATTCATGAAATTATTGTTGAAGTTGTTGAATGTGCTAAATTATGAAAATATATCTAAAATATATTTTATTAATAAAATAAAAGAACTATATAAAATAATTAAAATAGTAGTAATTCTAATCAAGTCAATATAAAAATAACTTTAACCTTAGCTTTACTTAACTTGTTTTGACTTTAAAAGCTCAAAAATATTGGTCGAAAGTCTGAAGAGAAATTCTTGGTGTACACCTTTTTATACATATCAGTACACTACATTATCTGTGAGAGTTTTTTTTTATCTGTGAATGTCAGTTCACAGACAAAACCTGACTTGTTTTGTCTGTAGAATTTTCCACAGACAAAACAAGCTAGATTTTGTCATCTGAAACGTGTACTGACGTGTATAAGAAGGTGTAAAAAGGAATTTTTGAAGTCTGAAACATGATAACTGAGTTTCAAATTTGTCGGACCTGGGTACCACTTGGAATGTGAGGAGGCCAGATAGCCACCGGAACTCGTTGTTTATGTTTCGATATTTTCTGGTCCTCCAGGAACCATACGCCTTCTGAATTCGGATCTTTCACCTTACCACCATCGCCAGGAGCACAAGCAATGACTCCCCAGTCTGCCATCGCAGCGATATCACCATCTTTTGCTTCAGCCTCAACACCACTTCTCAGCTTCAACGCCCGTAAGCTGTCTAGTTTCGCTCACATGCTACGCAGCATTGCGTAATGGATGCATTTACACTCATTTTATATCAATCTCAGGAAATCTTCCGAATGTGCAATCGCCGATTCTGATGCAACTAGGGAGCCGTCGGCGGAGTACTAGTGTTCGGAGTGGAAGCTTTAGTACTGCTTCTAGTGGTAGCATCGCAACCCGGGGCGGCTCATTCCGGGTCAAAGCTGATGCGGGTGGAGGAAATGGGAGCAATGTTGAAATTAGTGGAAGTGACGCTTCCCAAACTCTTATGTATAAATGGCCAGATGAAAAGGTCATTCAGAAAATCCCTCTTTCCATCTCCTCTTTTTTAAATGCACCAATTTAACCCAAATAGCAGGGATTCGAAGACAGTGCTAATTACTCTGTATCACTTAGGTTTCGTTGATAAGTGCTTTTGACTTTTTTGTTAAAAAAAAAACACTTATTTTACCGAACATTACCAACTTTTACTATCTCGGTTTTCGTGTAGAATCTACTTTTTACTTTTTCTATTACACAAAAAAAATTATTTTATCAAACACTACCCACTTTTCCCAAAAAGTGCTTTTATTAAAGTATAAGTGGTTTCAAACAAAGGGTTATATGAGCCATGCTTAGTACTCCCTCCGTCCCCCTAAGTTTGGGACGGAGGGGTGTGGTGTGGTTTTTAAGAAAAAGTGGAGTTGTGTGGTTGGTATTGAATTGATAAAGTGTAAATAAAGAATGAATTCTAACCACTCAAATGTTACCAAATATGATACGGACGAACGAAAAAGGTAAAACGGGACAAACTTAAGGGGACGGAGGGAGTACACTCTTATTTCAACCTCATCTATGCACACGCCACAGAATCTTGATACACGGTTCTAGAAAGGCCAAACTAGAGAATTACCTATTTACCTTACATGCAACCTTTTATGGTTTTACATTATTGCACATTTTATAGGATTAGCGTTAATAATAAAAATGAAAATTGTGCTGTTCCTTACTTCATGTGAAACCATACATCTAAAAAATACCCCATCCCCCTCCAGAACCAGGACAGTTGTGTGAGTGAAGAGAGTGTGGTTCCATCCAAGTCATTGCTTAGAGTTGACTTGGGCATAAAACACCTTGTGTAAAACCATATTTCTATGCATGCAAGGCAGTTGATTTTGCCTTTTCTGTGCTGCATGCCTGCATGTCAGCTTTTTCTGGAGTGTGCATAAAAGAGAGTGAGATGGAGGGTGCACAAAAGAGAGTGAGATGGAGACTGCTGTCATTATATAATCGATATATACATGTGTGGGTGGGTGTGGGGGGGGGAGAGAATTAGGGTATTATAGTTGGTAATTACATGTGTACTGCGTCAAGTACACTTTTTGGTTTTAATCCTTACAGCTCTTGCAAACTGGAACTCTTCTGGGCTAAGGCTGTTTCTATCTTACTGACCAAAACATGTTTGCAGTGGCTCTTATAGTCTAGTACTCTAGTAGATTTAAGCTGTCAAAAAAATCAATTAGATTTTTTAACTTAAGTTTCTCTGTCTGTGTTCTGCAGAGGCCAAGGGTTTGCATACTTGGTGGTGGATTTGGAGGACTTTACACCGCACTGAGATTGGAATCCCTTGTTTGGAGGGATGACAAAAAGCCCCAGGTAAGTTTTAAAATTTTAAGCGTATACTCAGGCGCTAACTATTTTCATTATTTTATTCAACATTCACATGAAGATGGTTCATCAAATGCATGTTATCTCTTCTACATCAACAGGGATTATTAGAAGTTTTGAAGCATGATTTCATATTTGTTCATTCATATTCTGAGATAACATTTTTGACAACCCTGCAGGTTATCCTCGTTGATCAATGTGAACGATTTGTTTTCAAGCCCATGCTATATGAACTTCTCTCTGGAGGTATGCAATAGGTTAGCCATTAATCAAGTGCAGTTATTTTGCAGTATTAAATCTTGAGTGCATTGTCTTCATTACTACTGCTGTTTTTTGAAATAAAAATGCAGAAGTAGACATGTGGGAAATTGCACCACTATTTTCTGAAGTGCTTGCAAACACAAACGTGCAATTCCACAGAGACAGGGTCAAATGCCTACATCCACGTGACCATTTACTGAAAAATATGCCTACACTATCTGGCCCTGGAGGAACTGTTCATCTTGAAAGTGGCCTTGCTATTGAATATGATTGGTATGTTAAATTATATTCTTGCCAAAATCATTTTGGTTCAGCATTTTAGGATGCCTGGAACAACACTAGAAATGGTGATTGATCCCAGGTCCTCAACAATGTTACTCAAGTACGAGTTAATTCAATTCATATTTCTTAAAATATACTCCCTCCGTATCACTTTTATATTCCCACTTTCCCTTTTTGGGTGTATCAAAATGATTGTCTCACTTCTATTTTTGCAATAGTTTCCACTCAAAAAGCAGTTACAGTACTGCTACAGTGCAACTACAGTACCGCTACAGTGTTTGCTACAGTACCAAAAAACTCCTACTTTTTAAAAAAATGTACGGTAAACCTATAAATTTTCTTAAACTACTACAAAACCCTAATGGGACAATAAAACTGATACGGAGGGAGTAGTTGGGAACAACCATTTACCATGAGATCTGAAAGTGGGTTTTCATTTATAATCAACTCCAAGCATCACATCAGTTTTGATCTTATTGGAGACTGTTTTAGCACCGGGATGTCTCTCTCTTCAGTAATTGTTGCAAGAATGCCATTTTCATAATTTCCGAGTAAAAGTGGTTAATCATAATGATACAAACTGAGCATATTGGAGCAACGCCACAGGCCTATGAACATTAGTAACACTACGTGAAGGAGTCTGAGAACACCTAAACTTTTTTATGATTGCTTATAAATGATGAAATCGAGTGTCGCAGTGAATTTAGAAAGGAGTAATAGTGACCTAGTGTTATGACTTAAGAGTGGACTGTAATCCATGAAGATCTCAAATGAGTTCATCGTCTCTCAAATTCTCATTTGGGAACAGCTAATTGCATGAAATAGGAACAATTTTGACTACTAACAAAGATAATAACAATGAAGACAACTCTTTGACTTGAATAATAATAATAAGGGTTTTTCCCTTAAATATGACCAAATTCAAGCTAATTTCATGACTAAACAACAATTTATATGAATTAATCTGCTGTGCCATTCCTTTCATGCTTCCATGAACTTTGATGTATCCTGCCAAGCATCATATTATCAGCAAAAGAAAATCACACAACCTTAGAAAAATCGTAATTGTAATATAAATTGCATTTCTTGTTGGCAATATTTGTGCATAAGGGACTTATAGAATTAGGGGCATAGTTTCAGTTTCCGGACAGTCTACTGATTCTAATCATTTAGAGTTTAGGTTATTGTATTACATTACTTTTCATCTTCTAATTTCCATTTTCAAAGAGGTTAGAGTTTAAGAACATAGCGCATATGATACATTTTTTGTCCCTTTCCATCTTTACTGCCAGATCTTTGGTTCCTGGATATCTCTAAAAGATTTTTCCTCCATTCACAATTTCTTATTGGGGTATTTGGCTTTGGCTGATAAAAGTGTTGCATAGTGTGCATTCCCAAAAGGAGCCTTTCCACCAGAGCAACCATATCTGCGTCATGTAATGAAGCATATATAAATGGATGAACTGTCAATATAATTACCACAGAGTCACAGACAATGGATTTTCTCTGTCAGAAGTCCTCAATCTCTCTCTATCAAACAAACAGTTCATTGCTATGGATCTGACAATGATTGGCTTGTAATCTCTTTGGCATCCTTCCAATTTCCTATAACAATGGATGAACACAAGTCAAGCTATTTAATATTCTTTCCCATACTCCCATAACGTAATATACATTTGGGTTGGGGGGGTTAAGAAAATAAAGGATAAATATTTTGTTTTATAATTCTAATTTCCAAAAATTAAGAATAAGTAGGATGGGTCCACAAGAAGTAAAAAGGTGAATTGATAGATTAAGGAATGTAAGTGGATTTAATTTAAGAAGGTGTTTATATTTTTTGGACAATCCAAAAGTTAAGTACACCAAACAAAATTAGATGGATGGAGTATCTTTTTGTAATTAATGAATTATATTGAATTTGAACCTTTTGTTTATTTTACTTTGAAATGCTTTCATAATTTTTACATCTTTTAAATTTGGGCAGCCAGGTTGGTTCTGGCATTAGGAGCTGAAGCGAAACTTGATATTGTACCAGGAGCTGCCAAATATGCATTACCATTTTATACCCTAGAGGATGCTCTTGTCAGTATGAGGATAAATGGATAATAATTAGAGATTCATATATGCTCTAATAATTTGCAATCTTCCGCTTTAATGCCAAATTAGTAACCACCTCTTTGAATATGTATTATCCTTACGCAGAAAGCTGATGAAAAGCTAAGAGACCTCGAGCGTAGAAACTTTTCCAAGGATTCTCCTATACGTGTTACAGTGGTAGGGTGCGGTTATGGAGGAGTGGAATTAGCTGCCACTGTATCTGAAAGATTGGGAGATAGGGGAATTGTACAAGCCATTAATGCAGAAAGAACAATATTGCCGAAAGCTCCGGAAGGAAATAGGGAAACTGCATTAAGGGTTAGGAACCTTATATGCGAACTACACCATTCATGCACTATGCTTTTGCAACAGTATTCATATTCTTTGCTGCTAGGTTCAGGTGTTGACCTTCTTTACTTGAGTCATTTATACTGTGACAAGTAGACATGCACATAGCCATCTAACCCCATTCCTACTTATCCAAACTATCTTGTATAGTTATATGTAAGGTTTTCCAGATGAATCATTTTCATGATACACTGACACTTTATTCAGTGCCTCTTCTCTTTAATTTGACTCAGTCGTTATTACCTTATTAATCACACGGGAAAATAAGAATGTGACAACCACTTTTATGAGATGTGTTCCCTCCAATTTATGTATGCTTCATATAATTTAGTAGCAAAGTATTGAGAGTTTTAATTATTAAGAACTATGTCTGCAAATTGCAATAAACATTTTGTGTGCATTTGTATTCTATTCTGTTTATTTTTTATTTCCTTTTAAACATAGTTGTCAACGCCGCAAACGGTGCCTGCCATAAGACACAATGGGCAACCTGAAGTCTTCGCCATAAGAGTGCTTCTTGGGGACCTGTATACATGCAGCGGCATTAAAGTGCACCATCGCTACGTCATATTTGCCATATTTTTGCGCATCTTTTAACATGTTCATTTAATTGTTGTTGGTATTTGGCCTTGGTTACTAATTAACCAGTCAGCCCACTCATATTATAAATAAAACCCTAATAACCGAACTAAGTAGAAATCAGCTAACATAGAATTGATGCGAGAGAAGTTGCACAACTAATTCTCTGTCCAGAGAAGTTGCACAACTAATTCTCTGTCAAGAGAAAGCTGCGCACAACTAAACGGAAATTGCTCTTCCACAGTAGGAGTGTGATAATTGGTGATGATTAGATCTTATTCATCCAAGTATCTAATATGCACAACAAATTGACATGTTCTGGAAGACTAGATTTTTTGGATATGAAGTTATTTTGGGAACCACATGAAACTATTTAAACTTGATATATTTGGGTTAGAATGTGTTTTTCAACTCTTTTGCTCATTTTTGGTTGTTGATTTATTGATTTATATTGCCTATAGTTCATTTTTTTAGTAATTATATTGTGTGTTATGTGGCGACGACATAAATGTGCATCGCCATTGCCACAAAAAGATGTCTGGGCGGCAAGATTTATGCCATATGCCATGACAACTATGCTTTTTAGACATATCCACCAGGCTATTTTCATATCTCACAGGGAGTGTGGTACTACTACAGTTAACTTTTTTGACCTTATTAGACAGATTTATTTTGGTAAGGGGTGTAATGGTGATTTCTAATACAAGATTCCCCTTTTCCATGCATCTAGAGTATGTGCACTAGGTTTTTTAATTAAACTTGTGAGAAAATTGCAGGTTCTGTCATCCAGGAAAGTTCAACTATTACTTGGTTACATTGTCAGTTGCATAAGAAAAGAGGTCAAGGGTGAAATTGATCACGGTGATCTTGCAAAAATGGCATCTGAAAGTATAATCTTGGAGTTACAGTCTTCTCAGAGAGGCTTGCAGAGTGAAGTTGTGGAATCAGACCTAGTTTTATGGACTGTTGGGTCAAAGCCACTACTTCCGGAGTTAGATCTTAGTGATGAGACATATGAACTTCCTCTGAATGCTCGGGGACAGGCAGAAACAGATGAAACCCTCCTAGTTAAGGGTCACCCACGCATCTTTGCAGTTGGCGATGCTTCTGCATTGAGGGACAAAAATGGAAAATTGCTTCCAGCTACTGCACAGGTGATTGACATATATGTTACTTTGACAGCTGAAGTTATTGTAAATAATAATAAACTAATACAGAGTATTATTATTTTATAGTATGCATGTGTCCATGACCACTTTTCTCAGTTTTCTGCTACATTTTTTTTTATTGCAGGTTGCTTTCCAGCAATCTGATCTGGCTGGTTGGAACTTGTGGGCTTCTATCAATGGCCGGGAATTGTTGCCATTTAGGTATGATTTTGATAATTGGTATTCTTGTAGATTAATTAAATATTTAAATATCATACAGAGTAATATTGCTCATACTGTGGTTAGCACCACCATTTTCTTTCACGACCATTTTTATGTTGGAGTCTCAATTTATCATGACATTACTCATGCGTAGTTCACAATACAATGTAGTGGCTTGATATAAATTCCTTTAATGGAAGTACATTATATCACCACCCCCACGGGCCCCACCACCCTGTCAACACCTTAAATTCTACGGAGTATATCCCAACTATTAGGAGGCCGTTTGGAGCTCTCAAAATGGGCTTATAAGCCTGAAAGCATAAAAAAAATCCAAACACTTGCTGAATTGGCTATTTGGGCTGATTTTTATGATCAGCTGAAAAAACAACAAAATGGTAACTTTTTCGGCTGTTTTCTATTATTGTACTGTTGAGGATTAAAAAGACCCGCTTCTCCCTTCTGTACTGAAATACGTTGTTTTCAGTTGCCTATAATTTGAACAAGGCTCTGGATCAAAAGCTGGTTGTTCACGTAGACACTGTTAAATAGTGGTCTATATTTTATTGTTTTGGACTTTGAAGTAACATTCAAACAAACTCCAATAAATACTTATCCGTATTTTTTGTTTGGTTTTATTTTATTCTAAGTGTATGTGAGCTTTCAATATCTGTATACTTTATAGAAAGTGTATTTTTAAAATTAATTTACTCATGTTTTTTACAAAAATTAATAATAATGTGTAAAACAAATCCAAAGTAATAATTAATCAAGCAGTTTTATACTTATCTAATTATATATAATCAAGCAAAATTAATTTACAAGCAAAGTTCACACCCATATATTTAATATAGAAATAATGACAGAAATAATACAATGGGACTTCTTGCGGACAAAAATAAGACCTCTTTTGGAATTAGACAAAAATCAGACTTAATATTAACAAATGGACTCTAATACCCTTGATTGACTCCTCCCTCCCGTCATTTCCAAATCTGGGTTCCAGACTTCCATCAACACCTCCATCGAACCAAGCCACAGCCGGATCTCTCCTTCTCCGCAAGTCATCCGCACCTCCATCGCCCTAAGCCACAGCCGCGCCTCCATCATGGCATCACACCGCGACCGTTTGAGCTCCGCCGCATAGCACAATGACCGATCGACCTCCGCCGCATCGCACTGCAACCGTTCGACCGCCGCACCTCCATCACCAAAATTTCTTCTCCTCTTCTCTCTGAATTTCTGCACAGCAGCGGAGAGCACTACACCGGCTTCTAATAGGCTCGTACGACAGCGATCTTCACAGATCCGGTGGGCTAGGGTTTTGACGGTGGTGCGATTTAGGTCCCTGGGAGACGGAGATGGGCTAGCGGCTAGGTTTAGGGGCGGTGGTGGTGTGCTGATTGTCGAGGGCTGTTGGATGGGGGCTGAACGCAGGTGGCTGGGGTTGGCTGGCGGCTGAGTTAGGAGGGACGGTGGTTGTCTGACTTTTGGGGGCTGGGGACTAACGGTTGGGCTGAGGGCTGAGGGCTTGGAACTAAGGGTGGGGCAGGCTGTACTTGTGGTGGAAGAGCAGTGGTTTTCATTGTTGGTCACTAGAGTCACTATTTGTGGCACTGACTAGCGGGGTGGGGGCGGTCACTGGTTTGGGGTAGGGACGGTGACTACATGAACGGGCCACGGTAGTGACTGATCGGGGTGGCGGTAATGACTTGTTGGGGGCGAAGGAGACGGTTGAAAATTATGTCACTGGACGGGCAATGTTGGTCATTGAATGGGTAGACGTTGGTTACTGAACGGGCGGAAGTTGGTCACTGGACGGAAGCCATTGTGTCAATTGGTCACTGTACGGAAGTCACTATATCAATTGGTCACTGGACGAAAGTAACTGTAATTGTAATTGGACTGGTTATGTAACTATAACTATAATTGGGCGGGTCGATAACTGTAACTGGACGGGTCGTTTAACTATAACTGGACGGGTCGGGTAGTTGTAACTGGACGGGTCGGGTAACTGTAACTGGACGGGTCAGGTAACTGTAACTGGACAAGTCGGGTAAATGGACTAACAAACATTGGTCACTTGACGGGCGGACGTTGGTAACTGGACGGACGAACGTTGGTCACTGGTCGAGGTTGATTACTTGACGACATTTTTGGTCACTATTAATTTTGGTCACTGACAGATTTTGAATTTTTGGTCACTAATAATTTTTTGTCACTGGAGGATTTTGGTCACTGACGGATTTTTGGATTTTTTTGTCACAAATGATTTTTGGTCACTGGGTGGATTGGTCATGGTCACTAGTCAGATTGGTCACTGGACGGGTTGACGTTGGTAACTAGGTAAAATTTTTGGCCACTAATGATTTTGGTCACTGACGGATTTTTGGATTTTTGGTCACAAATGATTTTTGGTCACTAGATGGATTGGTCATGGTCACTAGTCAGATTGGTCACTGGACGGGTTGACGTTGGTAACTAGGTAAAAATTTTGGTCACTAATGATTTTGGTCACTGACGGATTTTTGGAATTTTGGTCACAAATGATTTTTGGTCACTGGGTGGATTGGTCATGGTCACTAGTCGGATTGGTCACTGGACGGGTTGACGTTGGTAACTAGGTAGAATTTTTTGTCACTAATGATTTTGGTCACTGACGGATTTTTGGATTTTTGGTCACAAATGATTTTTGGTCAATGACGAATTTTGGTCACGATAATGGTTTTGGTTACTGTGGCGTTATTGTAGATTAATGGGTGAGATTCTATTAAAATAAGGGTATAATAGTCTCTTAACCCATTGTTAGTCTCATTTTTGGAAAATTGAAATAAAGGTCTCTGTTTTGTTCATAGCTCTTTTTTTAGTATTATTTTAGACATAACCCCTTTAATATATACCCAGTATAAGTTAATACCCTTTATAGTAATTTTACACTCAATCAGTTATTTCAGGCAACATATTACCAAACACTTTCACTTTAGCACATTCAGTCTTAAGCCTTTTAAGCCTATTCAGCCGTTGTCGTCGTTACCAAACAGGCCCTAGGATACTTGGGACGGTGACATGAAATTTATACAACACCCAAGCCTTAGTCCCAAAAGAATTTGGGATCGTCTAACATGAATCGACATATGAATTCGAAGCCAAAAAAAATAAAAAGATAAAAAAGATAAAAAGATGAGATAAAATAAAAAAGAAAAAATTATAAGATAAAAGTGACATGAAATTTATAATGTCAATTAATTGTTTAAATTATTTTTTTGAAGAAAATAAATGTGCAAATCATTTCACCAATCAAACTGCCCAAAATCATTTAACACTAAATACATTCAAGAAAACATTTTGGCAATGTTTTAGGGGCAGCAATGAGTTGAGAAAATCATTATTTTTGTGCCCCCTACATGAGTTGTAAAATCAACCCAAATCATGAAGCATGACTGAATGAAGTCAATACAATGTTTGATGCGTGTTCACTTGTACTTGTTTTAGTCATATATCAGATCAGACAAGATCACAATAATAGAATACAATCAAACAGAACACTCTAGACTTGGATAATAATTATAAAATACATATAATACTATACCAGCTCAAACAATAGTTGATGATTTAAATTTCAGTCCAAATGGACAGGGTTGACTAGAAACTACTGATAATGGATTATGTGATTGATGCAGATTTCAAAGTTTAGGTGAAATGATGACTCTGGGCAAGTATGACGCAGCTGTTTCACCGAGCTTCATTAACGGGATCACCTTGGATGGTCTTGTTGCTCATACCGGTATCCCCAGACCTCCTGATCCCCCCTCCCCCTCATTGTATTTCATTCCATTCCTAGCGACCTTATTGCGTCCATTCTCATTGCAGCGAGAAAAATAGCATACTTGATCAGATTACCAAGCAACGAGCACCGCGTAAAAGTGGGATTCAGTTGGCTAGCAAAATCAACTCTGGATTCGCTGCAGAATGTGCTTAGTAAAGCGCTTTCAGGATGCTAGGCTTACTCTTGGGACGTATTATGTTTCTTTGACAGGATGCACTTTATGAAACCCTCTGCTTCTGCTGGATTCAAATGTACATAACAAGATCTTTATTGGGGGCAAATATTGGATAAATTTGTCTGTTCGCTCTGTTTTCTGTACATTGACAAGAATGAATGTATAAGTTTAATTTGATTATTTTAAATAATTTTCCATCATTTCCAATGGAGTCAAAGACTAATTACTTTTTTACTTGATAACATGATGAAATAAAGAAAAATGACTTACTAAGGGTCTGTTCGGCATCACTGCCGTTTTGCTATTTCCGTTTTTTCTTTCAAAATAAAAAAGCAAAACCCGCTCGGCAAGAACTCATTCTGTTTCCAAATATTAAAAACGCGCAAAGTGTTTTTAAAAACGAATTCGTCATTTCAAAAGTGAGGAAAGGAGGTTTCCGGAATTTAAAGCCCACGCCTCTTTTTTTCCCGTCTCTTTCTTTTCTCCCATCGTTGCAACTAGTGGTGGACCGGCCCGGCACTGTTGGGAACCGGCCCGGTGGCCCGGGCGCCCGGCCAGAGACCGGTCTGGGTAGGCCCGGCCCGGGAGTTGCACAGGGCGGGTTCGGGCCACCCAAAATAGGAACAGACCTATTTTTTTATCAATTTTTTTTGTTTTTCCCAGGTTAGGCTGAGTGTTTTGGGGGGATTTGGGGGGTGGGGGTGAGGGGGGAGGGTCGGGGGTTAATTAGAAAAGCAAAAAGAATTAAGAAGCCCGGGGACCGGTCCGGACCCGGTGGAAACCCGGGCCGGTTCCGGCCCGAAGTCAAACCCAAAAAAGCCCGCCCAGGACCAGCCTGTCCCGGCCCGGGACCGGTCCATGCCTGGTCGCAACCCTCGTCCATCTCTTTCTTTTCTCCCATCTCCATAGCCGCATCTCTTTGTCTTCTCCCAAGTATCAAGAGTCTGCCTCCAAATCCAGGTTATACCTTTCTCCTTTTCTTTATAATAATCTTTCTGCTTTTTCAAAAGTGATGGAGTGTTATACCGTCATATACACGTGAAGTACCCCTGCACGGCTGCACGTGTATTGGAGTCTTTAGATGTGAAAATCAGATTCGTGAACTATTTAGGGGTGTTTGGAACTGATTCTGCTTCTGCTTCTTTTTTAAAAGTAAAAGCAGAATCAGAATCAGTTTTCAGAAGCTGGTATCTCTCAGCTTCTAAAAAAACTGATTCTGAGAGTAAATTAGAGCTCCAGAAGTGCTTCTGGAATTTCACCCAAACACTCCAACTTTTGCTTCTGCTCTCTGAAGGAGCAGAATCAGTTTTGAGAATCAGATCCAAACACCCCTTAGTTAGGAAAGGAGCCCATACTTCATCTGTCCTTGTACTTTGTTGTTCAACTATGGTTAGTTTTCTCTGATTCTCAATTGCTGGTTGTTAGTGGCATGCTCAAATGACTCCATTTGTGCTTTTTCTTTTCAAATGACGCTGTACATTTTTCGTATATACGATTAACTGACCTTAATACTAATACAAATATTAGACTAATATACAAGGAAATAATTTTTTCCTAAAAATTGCAAATCCCAAAATTCAGGAACAATAAAGACCAAAATCATATATTTTTTACAATCGAATAATTCTTTATATGTTTTGGTGTTCATTGTCAATATTTGAATTCCTATTTAGGGACTACTCTTTGTGTGCTATCACTTTTAATTTTAAGGTCTTGGTGTAGATGAAGAATTGTAAGTCAAGATTTTGATAATGAAGTAATAGAAGTGTCTAGTGATGGAGCTGTTTGGGATGTGAGAAATGAAGAATATTTCATTGATTTGATGGTAGTGCTGGACTCGGGCCGGTTCGGGCCCGGTTCGGGCCTGGGCCCGGGCGGGCCTCAGGCCAGGAAAGGGGAGGCCCGAGCCCGAACCGCCGGTGGCCGGTTCCGGGCCAAACCGGGCCGGGCCAAACCGGTCCAATTTTTTTTTTTTTTGGTTCTCCTATTTAATCCCCTACCCCTCCCCCTCAACCCCAAACCACCTCAAATGGCCCAAAATACCTATTCCAACCCAAGACTTAAAAAATTTTTCAAAAAAAAAAACAAAAATCCGGCCCGGATCGGGCCCGAACCGGCCGGGCCGGTTCACCATATGGAAGGCCCGGGCCCGGAACCGGGAACCACCGGGCCGGTTCGACCCGAACCGCCGGTGGACCGGGCCACCGGGCCGGGCCAGTTGCTACAGTGGCCGGGCCGGGCCGGTTCCGGGTCGGGCCGCCCGGCCCGAGTCCAGGCCTATTTGATGGTGGATGAACTTAACAAGAGGAATAGGAAAACTACTACTTTCACTAAAAGTGCTTGGACTCGAATAAGGATGAATTGAAAAAAAAAACTCAAAGAGAATATATTCAACTACCCAAGCACGAGTGAAGAACAAATTTAATAGTCTTAGGACTCGTTGGAAGTTGTTTAAGATGTTGATTGGTGAAACTGGAATGGGATACAATTCCATCACCGGAAATGTTGTTGCAAGTGAGGAGGTGTGGAAAAAATGTTTGCGGTGAATAAGATGGCAAGAAGATTTAAAAAACATGGTTGTAAAGAATATGAAAAATTGTGTATGCTTTATGGTGACACAACTGCTGCAGGCTGCAATGCTCATCCGTCTACTAAAAGTCCTTCAGTTAATAGCTCTATTGAGGATGATGGAGAAATGAAGAAAGAGGTTCATAGCTCTATTGAGGATGAGATTACTCATAAGGATAAAAAGATGAAGCAGGTAGGTCGAAGTCATCGTAAAGGAAGAGAACAATTTCAAATAGTCATGGCTCAAATTCTCACAGCACTAGGAGAAAGCTCTAAAATAAAATTGGAATTAATGGGACCCCCCCCCCCTCCCCCCAGAAAATTCAGCTGCTTTAAGTCGCGAAAGTACTGAAAAGTTATGAGTGAAAAAGGGAATGATGAAGAATGCATCTTAAATTGTCTCAATGCATTTAATTCACTAAATGATATTGATGGGGCATCTTATGCAAAAGCAACCCAACTTCTCATGATGATGCAAGGTGGAGAACAATGTTTCTAGCTATGCCAGATGAGAGAAAAAAGGATTGGGTGCTTAATATTTGAATTCCTTGATGTGACACGTTTATGTTGTTGGTTAGTTTTTTTTTTAAAAAAATTATGTTTAGTTTTTATGATATAACTCCTCGGCTACTAGTTGTTTATTTTGGAACGTCGCTTTGTCTTTTGTTCAACTTTGAATTACCTTAGCTTTGCTTTTTTGTTACACAGACTCATGTACACAGATTTGGATTCTCTCAATGATTAAGAATCTGATGAAGAGATTGAAACTTTGCTTACAATTATGTTAAACAGAGAGTATAATCCTCTTTGCAAAGTTAAACCTCGACCCTAAAGGGTCTCTAAATTAATAGGTCATGAGTGGGTGGTTGAAGTGTTAAATGGTCACCCAGACACATGTTACGATTTATTTCGTATGGATAAACATGTTTTCATGAGTTTGTGTGAGGAGCTGAAAAGAAGAACCACAACAAAAGGCTCAAAGTTTTTATCTGTACAAGAACAAGTAGCCATATTTTTATTGATTATTAGTCACAATGGTCGAAAAAGATATGTTGCAGATCGATTTCAGCATTCCATGGACACAATTTCCCAGTATTTTAGAAAAATTTTATATGCTATTTGTTCTATTTCTAAGCATTTAATCACCCCTCTGTCATTTGATGACACACCTTCGGAGATAAAGAACAATCCCAAGTATTATCCATTCTTCAAGGTAATATTTGTTACATGGTATTTGTTTAAAATTTAAGTATGGATACTGTTTGTAATATTATTTTTTGTTGTTTATAGAAGTGTGTAGGGGCTATTGATGACACTCATATTTCTGCGCGCCTTCCCGTTTGTGAACAAATTCCTTATCGTGTAAGAAAGTCTGATGCTACTCAAAATGTAATGTGTGTTTGGTCATTCGCTATGAAATTTGCTTTCATAATGAGTGGTTGGAAAGGTACAGCAAATGACTCCAGAATTTTTTTGGAGATTGTTAGTAATCCTGCAAATCATTTTCCTATGCCGCAACGAGGGAAATATTATGTTGTTCATTCTGGTTATACTAACATGCCTGGCTTTCTTAGTCCATACCGTGGAGAATGGTATCATTTGAGTGATTATAGAGAAGGTCCAAATCCACGAGGCCCTGAAGAGATATTTAATTATATGCATTCATCATTATGTAATGTCATTGAACGTTGCTTTGGAGTTTTGAAAGCAAGATTTCCTATCTTTAGAGACATGCCTATCCTTAGAGACATGCCGCTTATTCAATTAAGCATCAAAAGTATTGTTGAGTTTAATCCAACACGATATAATAAATATAAATATAAATTAGTATGAACACTCGATCTTTACGTGGAAACCCCAAAGGTAGAAAACCACGAGACTTTTTAGACTAATGTCCAAGCCCTCTCATTCTCATTATACCCTCCTCCCCATAACATAATATAGTTTATTGAAGCTCCCATTAATGGAGTTACTTGAGGGGGTAATTTGAGTTTGCACCCCATTTTATGATGCAAATTGGACTTTGTACCCTGTTTTTAAATATCTTTGTTTTTGCACCCCCAACCCCATATGAAAAGACAAAAAAGCCCTCCATCAGAATATGTTGAAGGCCAACAAAATTGTTAATGGAGGGGCATTTTTGTCTTTTCACATGGGGTTAGGGTGCAAAAACAAAGTTTTTTAAAAACGGGGTGCAAAATCTAATTTGCACAATAAAATGGGGTGCAAACTCAAATTACCCCTTACTTGAGCTAGTCTAGAGAGAAGAAATAAGTTGGGGAAGAAGAGAAAAGGATCTCTCAACATGGTGGGAAAACCCCATATTTATAGCGGAAAGGGATAAGGGTGCAAGCCACCCTAATAGGCCAACGGGCCAAGATGGGCCTACTATACTGGGCTAAGGTGGGCCGGGTAGCCTAATGGGTCAAAACGGGCCTCATTGATCGGGCTCCGCACTGGCCGGGTAATGCCTTGGGCTCCTGAATAGTAGTAGACCGGGATAATATATCTCAACAAGTATATAGCTCTTGCTTGCTGTGTGATTCACAATATTATAAAGGATGTACGGATGAATTATTTGTTAAATATGAAAATGAAACAGTAGAACTTGAAAATGAGGAGACAAACGGTGGAGTTGAATCTAGCGGTTCACATGAAGCTATTAATATTGCTCTAAGTCAACTGCAACGAATGAACAACCTTAGAGATAGAATAGAAAAATCTCTTTGGGAAAATTATAATGCATAATTTCTATGTTGAGTTACTTTACTTCGTTGAGTTACCTTAGATGTAATATGATTGGATGCTTTATAAGAGATTATACTTTTTGTGTTATAATTGTTTTTTAATTTTATGGAGTTATGAAATGAATTGTGAGAATCAATATAATGATGTTTATATGTACTCTATTTGTTTGTTAAGAAAGTAATGAATTTCAAGTTGTTAAATAATTTTGAATGAACACTAAAATGAAAACAGTTTTCTAAAAAATTGAAAATAAAAAACTGAAAACAGTTTTTGGTTTTCTAAAAACATAAAACATAAAACTCCCAACCATACCGAACGGGACCCAAACTGTCTGTGCTTTTTTAGGAAACAACAGTTACTCCATGTAATTTTCGACGCGATTTCATCATGAGTCAACCAACCGGAAACAGTCCCACTATACTAAAGTACTAAGTGAGAATCTTTATGTCACTGGGTGATGTTAATTATTTTAAACAAACAATTTGGTAAAAGGTACGTGCAATACATTTTCATTAAACCAAAGAGCATTTTTGTAAACGTACTTGCAACACTCATTGATGTCTGATCTAATGTACTCCCTCCGTATTTTTTTGTTGGTTACAATAGGTGTTCGACACTTTTTTTAAGAGTGAAATAGTAGAGGTAATGAATAGTGTAGAAAAGGTAGGTGAGATGATGGAAAAATATGAAAGATAAGTTTTTTTTTATCATAATATGAAAGATAAGATAAAAAGTAGAAAAAGTAAGAGTAATTGAGTATTTTTAAAGGAAAAACTTACCAAAAAGAAAAATGTAGCAAATTTTTGAATACATTCAAAAAAGGAAAGTGTAGCAAACAAAAGAATATGGAGAGAGTAATTGATAACGTGGTGTGTCACTCTATTGTTTTGGTCGGGTCTCGAACGGAAAAACATCTCAATTGTGTCATTAGCATGAAATTTAGTGTCAATTCATCTATAATAACTTTTTTTGAGAGAAAATTATCTATAATATCTATTACCTCTATATGGAATTTGCCAATTTGACTATTTGAGAAATAGAAAAATAAAAATCATGAGAATCATGTTTGTGTGGAGAAAAGAGAAATGAGTAGCATCAGTGCTTAATGTTTAAATGCCAAAAATTTTAGGAGAATAAAAAAAATTTAGCCAAGACCAATGAAGCTAAGAGGTAGCATACATTCAAGCAAAATACCATTACACTTTTAGTCCTTCAATTATTGTTTATATCGAAATGTAATTCAGTGTATTTAATTTTGTATATGTCATTTTTAGTTGTCTCAACTTTTGTAAATGTGCTCTCGTTGTTAAAATTGAACTTATATCATTAATTTTGTAACCTTGATCAAGTAAAAGTTAATAGCCTAATATATATTTAGGAATCTTCCGCTTGCGGAAATATTTACCAAGAGTTTTTCTAGTTTGCTATTTCATTTTTTAAAAGACAACCTGCGCGTTGTATCTCCCGCACAGTTTGAGGGGGTGTAATAGCCTAATATATATTTAGGAATCTGTCTAACATATATTTAGGAATCTGCCTAATATTTATTTAGAAATACTTTGTATTTTGGCAATTCTTCTATTATAAATATATGTGTCAGGACTCCTATTGGAGTACCATTTCCCATTATTTCACAAAAGTTGTAACTTTAGTTACACTAACCAAATTGTATTCTTTTTGTACATGTTTTTTTTTTCTTTTTAGCATCAACGGTTTTTATCTCTAAAGTTTAGGCTACAAATAAAAAATGTCAGTCAAAAAAATCCAACATCATCAACAAAAAAAGTTGTTGATAGGGCAAAGACAAAAAATTGTATATTTTTAATATATATTTTCAAAATTCTTTGCATCGTTTTTTTTGTAAAGTTAGGTCATGAAATATTTATCACACTTTTACTAATTTATATTTCTACTTTAATCTTTTTAAAACTTGTATGAGCTTATACAAAACGATCAATTTTCTTAATTTATTTTTTATAAAATGACCTCCTATACACGTTTACATGACAATATGTAGAATCGACTAAAGTGATTGTAGAATATCAATTTAGTTATTTTTGTTAGGATATAATATATTGTGTTCAATTTAATTAAATTTATCTTTGTTTAATTAGGATTTAATCAGTGGGCCTTTGTAATTTATTAGGAACCATTTAATTAGAGTTATTTGGCCCATCCTTATGTAACAAGGATATTCGGTCATGCTCCTATAAATATAGGATGAATGGACCGAACATACTAGAGGGTTTCACAATTAGAATAGCCATATCATTCTCGAAGCTCTCATGCTAGTATTCTAAGTATCTACACAATTTATTCCGCACCTATTATTCTCACGTAGAGCACTAGTTATTCTCGATCATCAGTTCATCCGTGTATTGTTCATCATTGTTTCATCATTATGAATATACGGTATTGAATGTTTTAATTCACAATTCATCATTATGAATTATTCTACTCAAAATTTTCATATTATTGCTTATTAGTTAATCGACTGTTGATTTGGGATTCACAAACAATTTTTCATGTAATTTTTTCTTAATTTTATTAACAAAATTTATTTTAAATATAATTTTAATAATTAAGCAAATTCGGCCAATATTGATACTTCAACGAGAACTTCATGAATTTTACTATATAGTAAATTCAACCGATTCAACTAGTTTTATTATTAAATAGGCACTAACTAAACAGACTCGTCCATTTAATGATAAAAATGACAAGAGGACTGGAATGATACAAACTACATGAAATAATGATTTAATTGATACATTTTGTTAGACCCTAGATTTTGATGAACTGTTTTGATGATGCCAAAAGCTTTTGTTATCCCCCCTCAATTGTAGCATTATTATAGGTTTGAAAGTTGTAATAGTCTTTGTTATCCTCTGTTGTAGCATCTTGCAGTTGTCTAGTACTAAGAGTATTATCTAGATGTGTCGTGCTCCTTTTTAAATAGTTAACAAATAAATATGACTGGAAAACCATAAAATGCAATAAGGCAATATTGTTTTGCCTTAAAAGGATATCGTATAAATCCAACCAGTTAAATTTATTTGTTACACACAATAACATCTCGTACAAATAAACTATCTATTTTAACTGGAAAACAAAATGCAATAAGGTAATTTTACCTTAATAGGAGTTGATATCCTACCAGTTAAATATTTAGCTTATCATGTTCGACATACTAGATAAACCATACACTCAGAAGCATATTCTTGATATTCTGTTCACTGCAACAAAATAACAATGTAAATTCTATATAACAAATAAAACACACTGGGATTCAAAATGAAATAAGGTAAAGTTGTCTT